TACATTTAACTGGACAGTTCATGTAGAACACATCCTCTTTAACAACCCGTACAATTATAGATACATCTACCTTCGTGTGCTTCGTTCTGTAAAAATGTCTAAAAGACAGTCTAACGTTTGAAAAAACAACAAAAACTCAGTAAGTTTATAACCCATGAGATACAGTATGTGAACTCTGTGACCTCTGAGTACATTAATCTGCAAAAAACAACTTCCACATTCAAGGCGTCAAACAATTATAACAGTTCGTAAATTATTATGTATATAACCGTATATGATAACTTTTTCTAAATCTGCAAATTGCAAATTAAAACGTTGATAAGTCTGTGACGATACAATTTAAATGTTTAGAGGAAAACTTTTAGAACACTTAACCACTAAATAATAAAAAACCCATAATCTTCAAAAGAAACACAATTGGTAAAATAGTATTAACTATGTTAAAATCACTGCACCAAATGTAAAGATTTACTCTAAAGAAGAATTTAATAAACAGCTTCTTTACAAGCACTGAAGATTGTGCTAAAGCCTGAGTAGACTAATAACTCAAAGTGATCAGTTATTAATCTCAGTGTTACTATTTCTTTGACGAATGATGGAACGAAACAGTCTTAGCGGTGTTGAACTGGACTTGTGCATGTGTTTTGTGGTACAAACATGCTATTAACCGAAAAGCACAGTTACCAACTTTATAGTCAAAATAATTTTGAGAATTTTGTAACTTTTTTTGATAACTTTAAATTTCAATGAACTAATTTTTCATGACACAATATTAACAGAAGAAAACATATACAGTGATATACAGTGTGTATTAAATAAAAATTACAACAGCAGAGTTTTTCCCCTGTGTCTTATCAACATGTATTCTGAATATACTTTATATATTGTAATGGAGTTACTAAATACATGTATAGTGTATTCACCCATCACTCACAGCATTCTGCCCAACACTGATATTTCTGACTTTATTTACTCTAATCTCACATAAAATATTGATATTAAAACATACAGAAAAAAAGACAAATCCTGACTAGTCAGAACCTAAAGCAGTTTTTGTTGCATATGATTCTGAGGCTCGCTGAAAGACTATTAATGAAAACAGCGTTATTGATTAGCAGTTAACTGAAAAAGGTATTCTATATGTAACACAATCAGTAATGCACGCTGCTTTCTGTCTCCCCTCCAGTGCAAACCCACCTCCTCTCCACGTAAACGTTCAACACATTGTATCACTGTACTAGTTAACCAACTTAGCAGCTCGTATATAAAAACCTATAATGTGTTTTTTACTGTTTCATATCTGTAGCAAGTAAAAAAGAAAAAAGTAAAAAGTAGATATATTCACAATCTATTTAAGGAGCAATACAAGTTCACAGAGGGCCGCACAAGTCCTTCTGTAATTCATCCTTTGGTTCCCAAAGAAATCTTAGCTCTGTGTAATATTAAGTGTGAAGAGAGGAGGAAATGGACACTCACGTTAATCGTAGGCCAATAATTAAGAATGAACGCAATTATTTAAACGTCTTTTAATTTACCGTTAGCTGGCTGAACCAACTGGCTACAGAAGCGTTAACTCAAGAAACTTTGTTGTCATGGCTCGAGAAACTGACTAACTGAAAAGCCTCGCATTATTATTCCTGACCAGGATGACTTGGTTAACACGCCCAATAAACCAATAAACCATTTCCGTTTCCATTTAGCCCCCACTGGTGACGTGATGCATTATCGGCGTCTTGATTGGCTGTTTCATTTAACCTGATTCCAGAAGTTGAGGCGATTGCAACCACTAAAGCCGAGTTGCAAGTGAGTTTCATGGCGCTTTACATAATGCAGATCAAGTAAAATCTAGTTTCAAGTGACTGAAGTTAGGCCGACTTGAAAGTTTCACTATGTAAATCTGGCTTCACTGCGCCTGGGCTGGCGTTATGGGTGAAACAGTCCTTTCTAAAAATGAGTCTCCTGGTACGATGTGGGCGCTTCTGTACAAAAAGAACATAAGGTACACATTTAAACTCACCGAGACGCCAACACACTTTGCAACTTTCTGCCATGCAGCATTCCAGGGTGTCTTTATAAATTGAAAGAGGTGAATCATTTAATATGGAAATGCAGAAACTGACGTAATTAGCTTCTCCATGATTAAAAGGGGTTTTTCGTGTGTGTCGCACGTCTGACGAGCCAATCTACTTTTGCCCAATTGGCTAGACGCAACCCAGATAGCAGACGGTTTTGGGCCAATTCTGGCTTTCCTATGTGACTGTTGGTTGACTACCGGGTAAATGCTAGGCATGTGGGCCAGAATAGGGCCAGATCCTGGACAGCTTCATATGATTTTGCCTCGTGTCTACATTCATGAGACAATTCTGCCGTGAATGTTGTGGACCAACAATGTAGTTGGACCAGATTGGGGCCAAATTTAAGCCATATCCTTTAGTTCTATTCACTCTACAGTGTGTGGGCCAGAAATGGGCCGAAGACCCAGCCATACATCGGGCCAGAACACACCAAAGATGTGGCCCACAAGTGGGCTGGACAAATATTGCTAACTGGGTTTGCAGGCAGCCGCACATTAAGTTGAAATCTGCGTTTCTTGCAACACAGCCCGGTGCGGCAGAGCTTTACGCTGAAATATTTTGGATGTGGGTCGACGAAGCTACTTGCTACTTACAGTTAACTTGCTGTGTCAGTTAAGAGAGTCTGGGTAAGACCTGCTGGTGCAACCAGGAGAAAATCAGAATCCAGAACCATTTAGTAAGTCATAATAATTAGAACGTTTCCCTTAATTGTGACGTAGTGTCTCATAATTATGGTGTTATTTGTGACCGTCAGATTATTTTGCTTCAAAGCATCTTCAGCTAAACGAATGGATTGCTTAGCCAGAATGAACACACACACACACACACACACACACACACACACACAATTATTAAACGTTAGCTGCTTGAGCTACTAACAGCGCTCCCTTGTGGTGAATCTTCAGCTTGCTAAAAGTGGGTGTTAGTCAGTTAAAACGTTCATGAGGTGCTTCCCACCTAAAGACAACGAAAATAACTGAAGAAAACGAAAAGTGGACCGTCCCTGGGTGGGCTCGAACCACCAACCTTTCGGTTAACAGCCGAACGCGCTAACCGATTGCGCCACAGAGACTTGGCACCCAGGCTGGAGGATGTCTGTTTTGGACATGGCACCGATCGTTTCAGGTCTGAAAACAGACCCTTATAATTAAATGTGTATATCTGGTCGTTGTGAAGGTCGTAAAGGTTTATTGGGATTATAAAACGGCCGTATTGTTTGATTTTTTCTTTGCCTTTTCATCACCTTTTTGGAGCTCAGTACAAATCACGACTGAGGTCATTGACGAGCCTCTGGCACCCTCTACTGGCGAAAGAACGACCGACACCAGTCTACGGATATGAACAAGCTATTAACATGATTATTATTCTGACAGTGTTGGACAAAGCAATCACTTTTCTAGGCCGACACATTTCTGGATGAAATACGGATTTGTCAGCATCTGCAGTTCAATATTTCAGACAGCCTGTTTAAATTGAGTTGAGGTTAGGGCCACTACTAAAAAGATTTTTATATACTACCGCATTTCCAAAAAAGTTGGAACGCTGTGAAAAATGTGAGAAATCTCTGTATGCAAAGGACAAAGCCAAAAAACAGTATTTGCTGGCCATGATCTTTGGGCCCTCAGGCAGCACTGCATTAAAAACAGACATGATTTTGTAGTGGAAATCACTGCATGGGCTCAGAAAAAGTTCTGAAAAACACTGTCTATGAAAACAGTTCAGCGCTGCATCCACAAATGCTAATTAAAACTCTAAAATGCAAAGAAGAACGCATATATAAACAGGATCCAGAAATGCTGCCACCTTCTCTGGGCCTGAGCTCATTTAAAATGGACTGAGGGGAAGTGGAAAAGTGTTCTGTGGTCCGACAAATCAAAATTTGAAATTCTTTTTGGAAATCATGGACACTGTGTCCTCCAGGCTAAAGACCCCTCGGCTCATCAGTGGACAGTTCAAAAGTCAGTATTCATGATGGTACAGGGGTGCATTAGTGCACATGACATGGGTGATGTGAATATCTCTGAAGGCACCATTAATGCTGAGTGATATATACATGTTTTGGCAACATATGCTGCCATCCAGACAACGTCTTTTTCAGGGAAGGCCTTGATTATTTCAGCAAGACAATGTCAAACCACATTCTGCACATATTACAGCAGCACTGCTCCATATTAAAAGAGTCTGGATGCTAAACTGGCCTGCCTGCAGTCCAGACCTGTCACCACTGAAAACATTTGCCGCATTAATTAAAATGACAAATACGACAAAGGAGACCCCAAACTGTTGAGCAGCTGAAATCCTATGTTAAGCAAAAATGTGAAACATTTCACTTTCAAAACTACAGCAGTGTTTCTCCGTTTCCAAACGCTTACAGCTTGTTGTTAAAAGAGGAGATGAAACACAGTGGTAAACATGCCCCCGTCCCAACTTTTTTGAAATGTGTTGTTGGCATCAAATTCAAAATGGGCAAATATTTTTAAAAAAACTAAAATTTCTCAGTTTCAACATTTGTTGTCTTTGTATTATTTTCAGTGATATTTATGGTTTAAATGTTCTGATTAAACAATTTTTTGGTATTATTTTTTACATTTTGCACAGCATCCAAACTTTTTTGGAAATGGGGTTGTAAATCAAGTATTTATTGAATGTCTTTCAGGACCTTTTTTAAATTATGTAATAATATTACAAATATTCCAGTTCAGTTGTATTATGATACATTTCAATTCTGTACATAATAAGATCAGAGCACCCCTACTGTACTGCTTTAATTCTTATTATGGTATGAGGACAACTGTATATCATTAACTTTAAATGCCTTGTGAATAACTGAATCCCACCTTTTTTGAAACATTTAATTGTTTAATACACAACACAAACACTATTAGGAGTGTGATTGTAAATATAAACTAGCAGCATACATCCAAATCCACCAACATTCCTGCAGAACTTTATTTTAGCAGCGTACATCCGCTATGTAGAGAACATTTATCGTACATTTCCCATTAAAACTCTAAACTCCTGGAAGAAAAGGTGTTCCAAATACAGAATTCCTTGGGATGCTGTAATGCATTAGTTTTCATTACTTTTCCTCATGTACAGTGTACTACCATATTTATGTATGTATGTTGTAAAGTATGAGATTTTGATTTATGTCCATTAGGCACATATATTCATATTCATTAAGTCCCTTAAGTGCATACTATTCTTAGCTGAACATTTTGCTTAGCCTTTGACCAAGCTTACTGTCGAGTTCTTTAGCTTTCGCGTTCACTTGTTTCAACGCAGTACGGGCTGAGGCAGAATCCGGCTGCAGCTGCAAAACCTTGCTGAAGGCTTGACGGGCTTCCCCAAAGTCTCCCAGCTGCATGCAGGCTTGGCCAAGGCGGTACCAGGCCTTAACGCTCGTTGGGTCCAGCGCAGTGGCTTTGGTGCTGCTGGCTCTGGCCTTTGCTGGCTGGCCTAGCTTGAGCTGGCACAGGGAGAGATTGGAGTGGAGTTCAGTTTTCATAGTTCTATATTCCTCCTCAGTTGGGATGAGACAGCTTTGGGTGGCTTTCACTTCTTTCTCTCCATCTTCTTTTCCTTTATCATCTTGTGTTGTCAAATCAGTTTCTTTATCGGGGTCCTCACCTTTGTCTACTTCTTTCTGGTCCTCTTCTTTTCCTCTGGTATGTCCTTTTAGAGAGATGATAAGTTTCACAGCACAACAGTAGGACTGTGCTGCCCCCCAGATGTCCCCCTTCCCAAACCGTTGACTGCCCCTCTGCTTATGAGACTGCACCCAGGCCCATTTCTCTGCAGGGGTCATCTGCCAGGACTCCTGTCCAGGGGTGAAGGAGTGGAGGTGCAGAGAGAAACACTGACCCTCTTCTTCTGTTTTCTCTGACTGGGTGCCATCACTGGACACTAGTTTGGAATCACCTCGATAGGCTCTTACGGTGAACTGCAGTTAAAAGCAAAGGAAACAACTGCAGAACCAGAATGAGCATTTTCAATCATATTTTAAAATATAAGAGTGTTGCATCACATTTGTAATTGGGGTGGGCAATATGGCAAAAATATAACTTTACAATACATGAAGATATTTTCACAATGCACTATATGCAATCTCTAATGTTTCCTATGTTTGATAAGCTGGAACAGAAAAAACAGTGCTGTTTTTATAAGATACAGTCAAACACTATGATTTTAACTCAACAGTTCACATACTACGCTGCACCGAATCCAATTAAACAGGATTAATTGTTCTCTGTCATGAAACATGCAGCTGGTAGATGTTCTTTAAGTACTGACAACATCCACAGTATGCTTAGAAAACTGTATTGTGCAATAATTTGACAAAATGTGTCCCAATAACAATAAATATTTTCATACTGCCCAGCCCTATTTGTAATTACAGAGAGCACTACTCACACTAGTATGTTAATTTCTGATATTTCTCACTGAGACAAATGTGCTGGCTATAATTCTAAACATAAAGTATAAATCCACGAACACAGACAGCTGAAAACCAAAAACAAAAGGAATTTAAAGATGCTGGAGTGAACAGTGACTACAGAAATCTTTCATTCATGGCTGCGTTAGAGGTATGCCTGCATCACATAAAAGCTTTTGTTTTCAGTGATGAAGAAAACAAGTTAAAATTCAGATTCTGATATTTAAATGGTCATTTCAATGCATTCTGCAGGTTCCAAGAGAACCAGCCTTCTCTCCTGCTTGCATGTGCACATAATACTCAAACATTAATAAAAATTCTCTACAAGCGGTTTTCAAGTGTGGAAACATATGAGAGCCCTGCTTTGATTCACTTTAAGTGTCAAGAAAATAGCTATCAACTGAACAGGCAATTAATTTTCCCATGCACATACAACAAGGAGAGAATAAAAAGGTAGGCAATAATCTAGACAAACTGTATTTTGACTCTAGTCTGCTACATGTTCACTGTTCTTTGCCTAGGTCTTGCATGTTATGTTTGTCCTTACCTCACAGCTCTCTCCAGCCCTCATTCCCTCCAGGCAGCTCTCCACAATGTCACACTGCCCTTCTCCCATGCGCAACAGGACCCATCTGTCCAGAGGAACCTGCAGCACTGAATCTTGAGAGCGGGGATGCTGAGTGACCGGTATGTCAGAATCATCACCAACTGCTGGCTCAGGCTCGTTTGGGTTCTGGGTTTGGGTGTTCTGCTCTGTGTGATTCTTGAGGCTCACTCTGATTTTGCATACCGAGCCCAATAGAGGAGTGTCGTCTCCCTTTTTTCTCTCTTCTGTCCATCTCCTTTGCACCTCCCACAGACCAGCAGGGCTCACTGATATCCATGGAGCTTCAAGGGTGAACTCACTTTCTTTGCCTGTTTCCGTGGCCATAGACAACTTTATAAAACTGGAGGAAAAAGAACAACAGAGCAACAGCTTCATCACACATTTAAGAAAAATGGCTCAGGATTTTTTGATTACAGGTACATACTTTTATTAACAATCAAATTAGGATTTTCTATTGTTTTGTTAAAAATCAGCATTCCTATGTGATCATAATAATGAATTTAATATGAATTAAAGTGATAAAAACTCACTTTTTGGCTGTATGGTTTAAATTTTTGTTCAGGCATGCTCAGAGAACATATGGACCAAAGAAAATTCATGGATTCGCAGGGCATCTCAACCTACAACCTGTTAGTTTTCAGGTTATGTAGTATTCTGTAGCGCAGCACTGTGTCCCTCGTCTTCATCAGCTTAACAGAATTTAAGATTTTGTTTGCTTTTTGGTTTTTCTTCCATCTATGTTCTCTCACTACAATACTGATAATTCATCAAGCAACTATGTCATACAACCACTGGGAATCCCTCCAGGTTGATCAAGAAATGTACTGATGTGGAGGCTGATGAATACAGTCTTGATATTCAGCCTTCCAGCAGTAACGTTAGCTGTCTGGCTTCATTCTGTGTTAGCCAGCTAGTGAGTGGACAGCAAAAACAGATGTATGTATCGCTGGTTATTTTTTTAATTTTGGTCATAGTGCCCCTTTAAGAACACAGGTAACTAGCTGCTACTGCTACTACTACTATACTAAACATTCTAAACTAATAAATGGACTCTTAATGGAGGCGTATAAGTTTTAACACACTATTTAGTATATTAGTATGTGGGTTTGGACCCAGGTTCAGCAACTGTCACTGTTCCAATAGTGAAGGAAGTGAAATGTACCTGTAGATACACAATACAGACTTTACAAAGACAAGGCAAGTTTATGTAGATAGCACCTTTCATACACTGCAGTCATTCAAAGTGCTTTACAAATAAAAAAAAATACAAAGACAATTCAAATTAAAATAAAAAAACCGTAGGTAAATAGAAATTAAAAGACATGAAAAATATGATAAAATATTTAGACAACAGATTTAACAAAGAAATTAAACATTACATTAAAAAATCACATAAAAAAAATAGTAAGGATAATAAAGTGCAGTTATAGGATAGAAGTGCAGCAGAACTAACAGTGTTTTAAACTGAGCTGAAAGCTCTGAAAGCTGCTCAAACAGGGACGTTTTAAGTCTGGATTTAAAGGTGTCCAGTGTTGGGGCTCTTATTATGCTCTCTGTCAAGTGGTTTCATTTAAGAGCAGCACAGTAGCTAAACACTGCTTCTCCATGTTTAGCCTTCTCCTTCGGCAGGACTGACTGCTGACCAGTTCCTAATGATCTGAGAGTTCTGTTCGGCTCATTTTGCTGCGGCATACAAGATAAATACGCTGGTCCTACACCATTTAGATCATTAATAGTACCTTAAACTATTCTGTAACAGACTGGTAACCAAGAAGCCAAGGATAGGCGCGATGTGTTCCCTTCCTTACTCCCAGTGAGACTCTGACAGCTGCATTTTGAATCAACTGAAGCTGCTTGTCTTTTTTGGAAGTCCAGTTAGGAGACTATCGCAGTAATAAATCCAGAGGAGCTGTTCTGTATGTTGTTTGACCTGTTTAGGTTAGATTGACTGAACTGCCCTGCACGCCCAGACAGCTGGCTGAGTTCCAGGATGACCAGGCAATATATTTACTTTCAGCATTCATTCACGGTTTCAGCGCTAAAAGCGTGTCTCCACACCGAAGACGCATTTCTGAGCGTGACGGATTAGAGAGTGATGTTTTCCATTACCTACTGACGGCTGATGAACTGGTGCAGCTAGGCTCTTGTAAGCCGACTCGGCATGTTGTTGGGTCTCTCTTCCCTCGCGGTGTCCAGGCGGAGACGGAGCGCTTCTCCTCACGCGGCTCTCCGCTCCCCCCTGCAGGTCTGGGGCGGGAGGACGCTACTGCGCCTGCGCCGCTGAGTTGTGTCACACGATGGCGCGCTTGTACAAAATTGCTTGTATAACCCGTATAACTCTGGTATAGCTTTTGTTGGAAGATCAAAATATTTTCACTCATAGGTTACATGCTGGAGAGGTTTTTACAGTTAAATTACAAAATAGAAAATAAATCACAGCAAATAAAAAAAGGAAATTACTACATCAATAAAAAAAGTGAACAAAAAGTTCAAAGTGCAGCCCTTCACTAAGAGAAAATAATGAAATGTAGTCACAGTACCGATCAAAAGTTTGAAATCACTTGTTGTATAACTATTGTTATTTAATAGAAACTAATCAGTACACCAAAAGGTAAGCTGAAGTGCATTTGGGGGAAAAAATCTAAAAATATTTTACTTATTTGTTGTGTATAATATAATATTATGTCACTGTTGATATGGTAACTTTACAGAAGAAGGAAAAAAACCTACTTTACTTTTAATGTAAGTCAGTGGAACCAGACTTTTTTCCAAGTAATTTTGGGACGTTTCTTTTGGTCCATTCTTCATGAAATTTACACACAATATAAAGGGCAACATGTGTTTTCAAATTATGTCAAAAACTGAAAAATGACAAAAATCACAGAGCAGGTACTATTTGGGTGGTGGATCATTCTCAGCACTGCAGAAACACTGACGTGGTGGTGGTGTGTTAGTGTGTGTTGTGCTGGTACGAGCGGATCAGACACAGCAGTGCTGCTGGAGTTTTTAACCACTGTGTCCACTCACTGTCCACTCTATTAGACACCCCAACCTTGTCAGTCTACCTTGTAGATGTAAAGTCAGAGACGATAGCTCATCTGCTGCCGCACAGTTTGTGTTGGTCATCCTCTAGTCCTTCATCAGTGGTCACAGGACGCTGCTCACAGGACGCTGTTGGCTGGATATTCTTGGTTGGTGGACTATTCTCAGTCCCGCAGTGACACTGAGGTGTTTAAAAACTCCAGCAGCACTGCTGTGTCTGATCCACTCATACCAGCACAACACACACTAACACACCACCACCATGTCAGTGTTACTGCAGTACTAAGAATGATCCACCACACAAATAGTACCTGCTCTTGAGGGTCCATGGGGGTCCTGGCCACTGAAGAACAGGGTAAAAGGGGGCTAACAAAGTATGCAGAGAAACAGATGGACTGTAGAACTACAAGGTGCACTTATATAGTAAGTGGAGCTGATAAAATGGACAATGAGCGTAGAAACAAGGAGGTGGTCATAATGTCATGCCTGATCGGTGTATATTATAATATAATACTTATTATAAGTTTTCAATCATTGTGGAATAATCTACAGCTCTACAGCTCTTCTTATGGAATATTTGCATCACGTAAATTGTTTTATACATGCATGCAAAACTGGTTTTGTATATTATATATATATATGTATATTATGGCAAGCCAAACAGGAAATATTTAATGAACATTGATATATATGGAATGAACATTGATATATATGGAATGAACATCATCAGTTTAAGTTCATTCCATATATATCAATGTTCATTCAATGTGTTTGGCTTCTGTAGTATATATATATATATATATGTATGAATATATATATGTGTGTGTGTGTGTGTGTGTGTGTGTATGTGTATATGCAACTCCACATACTCTCAGTACCATGTACTGCCTGTGTTCTGTTTTGTATTTAAATGACATATGAAATGACAATAAAGCCTGACTTGAATTGACTTGATATGTAATATTATAAACAGTAATTTTGAAACTTGTGAATGGTGATTTAAAACTGCTGACCGGTAGTGTGAACAAATTACCATAAATAAAAGACATAAATAAAAGATGTACCTTAGCAGCGCCATTAAACAGCATGTACTTTAACAAAGTTCTCCTAACTAGTACTTTAACTAGGATGCAGGTTAAGGTTTTCTCTCAGAGTGAATGTTTAGGAATTCAAAGTGTGATAACCAAAACTGGCGATGATTGATTGACATTTACTACAACAACGGGCTCGCCTTCGTTTGTTTTGTAGATTGATTTTAATGCGTTTTGCCAGGTACACTAGTTAAATGTGTTCCATCGCTTTTCCGTTAGACTAAAGAACCTTTATGTCCTGAGATATTTTAAGTCACATGAACAGCAGTGTGAACGAACATGACGCGTTACATAAAGGTATTTATTCGGTTTAAGTTTCTTGTTAATGAGTAACTAAGAAGCGCGCGCGCGCGCGAGAGAGAGAAAGAGACTGAGACTAAAGGAGAGAAGTCGCCAGCGGGGGCGCGCTTCGCGGGGACGAGGCTCGAGCTGTTTCCTGGGTGCGCGCAGCGTCACAGGCAGTACAGTAGAGCAGCGGCTATGTGGCAGAGCGTGTGAGGCGAGGCAGGGCAGGACAGGACAGGACAGGACGGGGGGCGGCAGAGTTTTACAACAGATTCTGTTGACAGCCGTCGTCGCCGCTGTACGAGTCGGAGAGTAAGTGCACACGGAGACGCGGAGGAGTCGCCGGACGCTCACGTTGTACCCGTTTTACCTGGAGCGAGGGAAGAAGAGCGTCGGGGAGAGCGAGTTCGAGGCGGATGAGTGCAGCAGCCCCCGGGAGGAGGAGGGCAAGTGTGTGGCTGTGGCGGGGCGCAGTTAGCGAAAGATGAACAAAAACCACCGAGTGCCGAGCAGCCGGACTCTGAGCGCCGTGGAGGTGAAGAGCAAGGTGCGCAGCAGCAAAGCTAATTTACTTCTTACCGACAGCGGCGGGCGGATTAACGTTAGTCTTCGTGCTTCATCGGCGGAGTGTAGCCGCGATTAGCCCTTTTTTCTCACCCAGTGTGTGCCTGTCTGTCCGGGTTACCTTCAGGAAAACTAGGAAAACTGTTTTCACACCGTCCGCTGCGCCTAGATTCTCCTAGCACGGCTAGCAGACAGACCTCGTCGGGTTAAAGAGTTGTTGTGGAAAACCGAGAGTGTTAAAAAGGACAAGTTAATGAAGTTTATATTAGTGTGTTTTTACGACGACTTGTTGTGAATCCTGACAGACGTCCCTTCTTTGTTTTTTTTCGATTAAGAAGTCTTAAAGCAGGCGCAGACGGCGTGTAAAATGTGAGACGAAGCCGAAGCTTATTCGCCAGTTTCTCGTTCGAATTCTCCGGTCCACCTTAAACAGTGAAGCAGTCCGCTGCGCCATTTAAGGTGGACTGGAAAATTCGAATAAGAAGCCAGCTTCAGCCTCGTGTAACTAACTTATCCTGTTACTCTGTGATGTACAGGGATGACTTCCCTTTAAAAAAAATACCTTTACATCATACACCTGGGGCTATTTTAACTACAGAGAAAGTCAATGTTGTTTAATCGGCTGTTGACTCGTCGCCCTGCGGTCTGAGCTCACCTGTAGCGCACAGACTGTGTGGACTGTATGTGCTGTGTTTACTCCCTCAGAGCTGAATGGACGCAGGAGTGCACAAGACATGGTCTAACTACAGCCTCAGTTTCACAGGATGACTTTATACGCTTAATGAAACGTCCAGACTTACAGCTGCCTTTCGTTCTTGTTCATTATGACAAAGATTTATCACAGAGGAAAATAACAGGGTAGAAGCCAGTAATGAATCACTGTTCGTTTGCCATCAAATTTTCAGTCGTTCAGTTGTTAAGCCTTATCTCAGACCTTTATTTCAGTCTGTGAGTCATTTGAACTCTCTGTAAGTCCCCTATTGAAGACAGTTAGTTTGGAACAACAGCTATTGTTCGAACTAATTTCTAATCTACGTTTCCCTGTTAGTGATTAGTTCTTTTGTATGGTTTCGAGCTCTCGCCCTCACAGTATCGAAAAGCCTTCTGCTATCGTGACAACTCATAGAACCCTTCTTGGTGCTGTGTAGAATCCTTTTTTTGCCAAGAGTGTGAGTTTGTGTTGGATATCTGTGAGTTTTTATTCAAAGACTTCTCCAAGGTTTCTTTGTAAGCTTCTCTAAGCCCTATTTTAAGGTTGATGTAAGGTTTCTTTGAACCTTTCAAGGCCTGCAGTCTATCTTTAGCTCTGTCTTTTTTCTGCCCCCATTCTGACTGTATTCAGCACAGGTTAGGTTGAGAAAAGCGTCTGAATCGCCTTAAATCAGATGATTGCACCATACGCAAGAGATTTAATGGACCAAAGTCCATAAGCAAGACTTTGTTTACTACATGTTTACTGGTTCTGCCTGTTGTCTAGTAATTTGTTTGGTAGTATGTTCACTTCGTGTGGTGATCCAGGGACATTAAGGGACATGCATGATGTACTCCATCCCCTATAATTTATAAACATACATCATCATCATCACCCGTCCTATCTTGTATGTGGAATCTTAGGTACTGATGTACATCTGTGTCTCTGTACTGTATACTGATGTATGCCTGTGCTCTGTGTTGTCAGTTTGGGGCAGAATTCAGGCGCTTCTCTCTGGACCGCTCCAAGCCGGGCCGCTTTGACGAGTTCTACGGGCTGCTGCAGCATGTTCACCGAATCCCCAATGTAGACCTGCTGGTGGGCTATGCTGATATCCATGGAGACCTGCTGCCAATCAACAACGATGATAACTACCACAAAGCTATTTCAACAGCAGCACCGTTGCTACGCCTCTTTCTGCAGAGGAAAGGTGAGGGTTGTGTAGGGCTCCCTGCGAGCATGTGGGTAAAGCCGAGATGTGGAACTTCACTCATTTCAGTTATGTTGGACTCTTTTAAGGGCAAATACACCATGACGCTGTTGCTTTTCCATGAACTCAAGCTATATTTCGCTCACAAATATGTTTGTTTTAAGCACTCATTGCTAGATTGGACAAGCTTTACAGTACGTTAACAAAAACCCCATTCAACGGAATGAGAAACTGTAGCACACAGTACGTTATTAAAACTGTTTGTTCAGAGTCTGACCTAACGTTAGCCTTTCAACCTTCCGCAGGTAGAAATCACTTCAGATATTTTCCGTTACTGTAAACATATAAAATGTTTTTGTTGTAGCTCTTATCAGATCTACTAGGACACTGTTGGCTCTCTTTGTGTGAAATGTTGTGACTCACCTGTTGAGCTGTTAGCAAGCAATGAGGGGTAAAAGAGGTTGGATGAGAACCCCCTGCTGTGAAAACAATTCACATCTCTCCACAAAGACAGCTGTGCCAAGATAAACCGGACAGCACAACTGCAGCTTTTTCAAAAAAATCAAATATGACTGTCGCAATAAAAAACATATAAAAAAAAAATATTTTTCATCAATGTTGTTGAAGAAGCCTGTCGTCAGAACAGGCAGAAATTGCGTTTTATGGCTCCTGTTTAAAGGAGTTTGATTTCCAGGTCAAAATGCTAGGCTTTTTGGGTGCGTTGTGTTATTGTCACAAATTGAAATGAGGCAGATTGTAAATGACAGCATCAGTTCGCCACCATGTGATCGCTAGCTCGATTAGACTAGACCTCCTATCTCCATTGTTTTTCAGTTTTTGACATAATTTGAAAATGCGTGTTGCTCTTTAAATTGTTTGTAAATTTCATGATGAATGGACCAAAAAAAAGACCTAGAACTAAAAGTCTGATTCCATTGACTAACATTAAAAGTAAAGTATATATATAGTATATAGTATATAAAGTATATATATATATGTATGTGTGTGTGTGTGTGTGTGTGTGTGTGTGTGTGTGTGTGTGTGTATATATTGTGCTGCAGTTTATCACTATTGGAATGGCATTTTTGCCAACACTCTGTAAACCTTGTCCAGCCATACCATGAAAGAACTCGTGTAGGAGGAGCATAGAGAGATGAGTTCTGAAAAAATCCAGAATGTCTTTGGATAGCTTTGTTTTCGTAAAGCTACAGGATACATGAAATGAAATGTATTGTCATAATTGTGCCTGGTGGGGATAACTACAAAGGCTTCTGGAAAGGAGTAGTCTATAGACAAAGTGGTGTTTGTGTTTACTGGCGTTATCAGATTGGATTGTCACCATGTCAGCAGTCATACAGGAAACTCCATTAGCGCCAGCTTTGTTTGACTGTGTAACCTAACAACAGCACACCTCTCGTATTAGTATGGGAGTTTACAGTACAAGTTTTTTTTTTTAAAAGATGTTTCTGATCCTGTTTCAAATAATTTCCTTCCATTTCTTGTTGCATCTCCAGCAGAATGTTGAAATCCTTGGCGTACATTATTGAGTTACATGGACTTTTTTTAGGGGCAGGTTGCAGTGTTGGGCTTAAAGTCTTTAGTGCAAGATTTTGATATTCAGGCCTGAGCTGTTTTAAAGCGTAATCTTCCTGAAAGACTGAAACAGGATGTAAATAGTTTGACCAATATTATTGGTTTAATAAAATGATTTAGTTTTATTTCGTTTTCAGTGATCAACAGTTCCTATTTGAATAGGCAGGTTTAACACTTAAATAGAGAAATGTTTAAAACTGTATGCCTGAGGACTCTATAGGCAATTTGTTACACTAGAGAAACCTACTAAAAAAAGGATGCGCAGCTAAACACAGTGGTGTTCAGGACCACTTTTCGAGAGGAAAATTACAGAGAAGGACGTGGTGGACAGCAACAGCTTTTGAGGGCTACTGAGCCGAAGCTGGGCCCTGTCATGGCATTTATTTTAGTTTTATGCTAGTAATGCATGTCAAATACATCTTTAGGACGTCATAATGCAGAACGTTTAGTAGCCCATCATTATATATTTCAGTAATTTTGCCAGCGTTTTAGTATTTAATCATATAATTATGAACTTGTTGTTGTTTGTCAGCCTCTCGGTTTAAGCAAAACAGGTTTTTTACATAGGGTATGTTTATATGCTATGAGTGTTATGTTCCGTGCAAGCAACACGTTTTTAATATCTCTGTGCGTTAATACAGTAGTAGTTGAAGAATGCACTCATAAATATTCTATATCAAAGATTTTAAGATGGAATTGAATATAGCTCAATCAGATTTCAGAACTTGAACTATCCGTTTTATTACTGATATTTTGAAGAGTTGTGTCCTTGATTTTAGGCTTGCCAGATAACAATTAATCACAGACTAATGAAGAATTTGCCTAAATTTGCACTGCAAGCAACAGTTTTAGGGGAAATATTTGGAGTGATTTTGTTTTTTTTGATGTATTTTTTTTTGGTAGTGTTTTGCGATTATTTCTGGTGTTCGTAAAATGTATTCACACATTTTATGTGGCTAGGTTTTGTTGTTTTTAGGCTCAGCTGTGACATTACCTCTTTTTGGGCAGTGTTATGTGCTCTGTGGGGGATGTTTTTTGGACGTGTTTTGTTTCTGGTGTAGCCCCGGTGGAGCACCTCTGTTAATGGGGCGACCCAGTCTAAGCTGTGTCTGTGTGCCATATGACCTATAGATGCTAAGCCACTTTGTCAGGAGGAGATTAGAGGGGTCACTGTGTAACGCTGCATGGGCCTGTGTTTCAATTACACGCTCAACGCTAGCATCCTGCTGTGGCCCGTCGCTGGCTGCAGTGGGGGACGCGCACACACCAATACCCGCCCACATTAAGAGTGGGGGATGTCCTGTTGGGGTTTTTGGCTGTGCAAGTCTGTCTGGGATATCTAGTTTGTGCAAAGTCTCTGTGTACGTGTTAGTGAAAACATATTTTGACACTTCTCCCCAAGTGGCAACTATTTGATAGACTGCCACAAGTCAGGACAGGACCGGCCTGTGCCTGAGTTGCTGTCCTTTCCGCACATAAGGCCCTCAGGTTCTTCTTGTTAAAGGGAAGCTACTCTTTATTTCCAGCACAAAAGCTGGCTGATTTAAATGCCTGCATCAGTGTTCCCTGGTTCAGCCAAGGTGAATGTTGCCCTTCACCTGCTACCTGTTTCTTTTTGGGTTCAGTTCGGTCAGTAGGACAGAGCTCCCAGAGCGCTATGACGGCAAGCTGGTTAAATCTCTCTCTGCCTCTTTATCATCCCCTTGTTTTCATGTTACCTCTCGCTTTGCCATTTGTTTTTCTTTTACTGTGCTGCCTTTTCACACCTACTCTTATTTTTGGAGTACAGCAAAAGATTGTTTCAATCTGACAGTTAAATTTTGATTAATCAAATCATCTTAACCTTCATTCCACTGGAAAGGGTCAAATTATCTGTTGATTTTCTTTGTTTTCTTAATAAACTGGACTTTTATATTATGTTAAATTAAATGTTAAACGGGAATGCCTCCCATTTTTCTAAGGTTAGACATAATTCAGCCGTTGAGATAAACAGGATCATGTGGAAATGGTGCATCACAGAGAGAGAACCTTACGATTTTCTTAACGATGGTGGTGATAGGAATCAGGGATCACAATGTCTGCAACAAAATATACTTATTTTATTTACTATTCAAAACAACCAGTGAAACTATATGTGTTTTCTGACTTTTTATATGTAATGTTGATGGTAAAATAGTAGTAAATCGGGAGAAAATTTTTTTTTTGGGTATTATTTTTGCCTTTCTCTCTCTGCCATGAATGGATTTTATATTTCAACAGTATTATACTATCATAAAACAATGTACAATATCTTGGACATCAAGCAATGTATTCGCAATTATTATATGTGATAACATCTTGTGATCTAGCTTTGAGAAGCGTCAGTGTCTTCTGAAATATGGTTCCTATCACCACCAGTGTGAACAATTCTGACACTAAGACACTGACTTTGTTTACATTTTAACATTTTGAGTTTTATGAATGGGTGGAATTCCACTTTAGTCATTAGTCTACCATAAAATCTTTGTAAAACTACCACTCAACACTTTGCCGAATGGTATACTGAAAGTGAGGCTTTTATTGCAGTACAGAGTACAGTCACTGAACTGAATTGAAAAGAATTGATTGTCTTTCAAATACATGAAGTGATTTGGCAATAGCATTGGGTAGAATGACAGTTGACATGTTTGGTGTCTTTACTTTTGCACTGGAGCTTAGAGGCTTATGTAGTAAAGAAATAACAGAAGCTTGGCTTATACCCCACCGATTAGCATCAGACAGCAAAAAACTGAACTATTGCTTTATTGAGCCAAGTTAGCGTTTATTAACCACTGGCAGATGAAGACAGTTGAGTCCCCTGCTGTGATCATGCTCTACTTTTGAGCATCTTTGAGCTAAACCCTGTCATGTGTTTTTCCATTTTTCCTTAAACAGCAGGCTTTCTAACTGTTTGCCCTACCTATCAGGAGGACTGTGTGACTTGTACTCTTAGACAGGCAGAGGCATTACACAAGCGCTTCATTAGGGCTAAAGTGAATGCAGTCATAGACAAACATAGTTTCAACACAGCAGTGTTGCAAAGGCATTCTTTCACTGACTAGACTGTGATCGTTAGAGTGACAGCAAGGTTATTTCAGTCTCATAAGAGGAGGCCTAATATGTTTGTGATAAGTTCTTAACCAGCCTGTAGTTTTCATTTATATTTGTTTTTTTGGACCTGATGAGGCTGTAAATCATCCATTAAGTGAGCTGGTACAGTTTTGACAACAAACAGCAGTGATCTGTGCATCTGTCTCTGCTTTCCACAGAAATAGCTGCATTAGTACTACAGAAATAGAATGACGGGCATTTTTTTAAGAAGGATTTTTCGAACAAATGCAGAAGTGCTGATGTGTATCTTGGATCACTCTGGAGTCGGGCTGAGTATT